GGACCGTGCGCACACAGCCTGCATTTCTCGGTGGGGCTAACACTGGCAGTCAAGGAGACCGCTCCATACTGGGGTGGGGGACGCGCGTCAGCGGAAGGCGCACGGCCCCCCGAAGAGGGCGCCCCGTCCTTGGGCTCGGACTGCCCCCTGCCGCCCCGGGCCTCCAGCCTGGCCCGCGGCGTCGACTGGCCGGGTCTCTGCAGGGCGGCCCTGAGTGACCCGTCTGCCTGTGACCGCAGCGACTTCGCCGTGTCTGCGCGCTCGCGCACAGGGGCCCCGGGAGCCCTCACCGTTGGTGGACAGCAGGGCGTGGGCCGCGTTCTGCTGCGGGAGCCATTTGATCTTGTTGATTTTCTCCTCTATCTCCAGGCTCTTGAGATAGTCGAACTCGGGCTCGTGGCTCTGGAAGGTGCTGTAGACATCATACTCGCCCTGGCTGTGCGGTGCGTTCTTACTCTGCAGGGGACCCCGGGGCTGAGCTCAGGGGGGTGCGCGGGGGGGGCTCGCTCGGGCCCAGCGGGCAGCGACCCCACACCAGGGTCAAAGGAGCCTGCAGTCCAGGGGCCCAGCCCGCTGCCCGGCCCAGGGAAGGACAGCCGCGGCCAGGCCGGCCCCGCCTCCGAGCAGCCGCTACGCGGGAGGGGCCTGCACCGGGGTGCCAAGCTCTGCCTCCCTCTGGGGCGAGCACCCCAACTCCCCACCCCAGAGGGGTCACCTGACGCCCGCCCCGCGCCCTCAGGCCCACGACCGCCCCGGCCTGCCTGGGGACGGCGCGTCTCCGCAGACCTTAGGCCGGGCTGGCACACCGTCAGCCCTGCCTCGGGAAGCCTGGAAACCCTCCCGGGGTTCCACAATTCACGTCCTCTCCCGAGACCGCGGTCAGCACGGCCGGGGCGCAGAAACGAATTAAAGGACAGTGAGGCACTTGCACCAGCCAATCTAACTCCTTTCTGCAGTTTGGCAAAAAGCGGGCTTGGCTTCGCAACCCCGGAGCCGCTGGCCCCCCGGGAGTCCACCCGCCAGCCCCAGCGCCGGCTGTGACCGTCTCCGCGCCCCCTGGCCCGCGTGTCCTTGTGAGCTCGCTCTGAGCATCTCCTCATCTAGCCATGATGGCCCGGAGGGAAGGGTCTGGGGAACACGGAGTCGCCTCGAGGGGTGTCCTCCGGGATGGCCGCTGCCCCCGCTGCCCCCACCCGCTGTCCTGCGGGCTGCGCCGTGCTGAGGCCGGGGTCCCCGTGGGGCAGCCTCCTGGCTGCTCACTGGCCGGGGTCTCCTCCCCGCGTCCTCCCCTGGGTGGGGCATGGGTCCCCGTGCGCGGGGCTCGTGCAGCGAGTGCGGATACCGCGCCTGTTCACGGAAGCCGCGCTGCAGCGGCCGACTCAGGAAAGGAGCCGTCGGGCTCAAAGAAAGTGCCCTGAGCTGGCGAGGTTGCGCCAGGCGCCCGGCTCACCTGGGGTTCTGCTGGACAGGCCTCGATGGGCCAGAACACGGCAGGGCGAGCCAAACCCCCAGGGTCACCCCAAGAGCTGCAGAAGCTACCAGGCTCCACCGGGTAGCGCCACCCGCCCAGGCAGGGCAGCTTGGTCAGCGCTGGGCGAGAGGCGTGGCCCATCCCCGTGGCCTCTGGCCGGGGTCCCAGCCAGCCGTCAGTGGACAGTGGACAGCGCCGAGAGGCGGCTCTGGAGCTGGCCCGGAAGACCCCTCCCTGGGCCCGCGGGACCCCATCCCCGCACGCCCATCTGCCGCGCCCGGGGCCCTGCGGGGACTGGCGGCTTCTTAGGGAAGAGGAGAGGCACCCCAGAGGGGTGGAAGCCCCTCACACCCCAGCAGGCCCCACGCACCTCTGGCTCCCGCTGGAAGATGACCACCCGGCCACCCTTGTCGCCTGTGGCCAGCAGCTCTCCGGTGTGGTTGAACTCGACGGTGGAGATGATGTCGGCTGGGAGGGAGGGACAGGAAGGCGTGCGGTCAGGCGTGGGCGCGGGGTGACACACAGCCAGCCCTGAGCTCCCGGGGCCCTGCCCGGCTGGGCTGGCCAGCCCCGGCAGCGGGAGCCCGAGGCGGGGAGCGGCTGGGCCTCGGGCCCCTCCCCGGCCTTGGCCAGAGCCCTGCTGGGGCGCACTCTGCCTCTTCCTGCCCTCCTGGCCGCTCCCCGCCCGGGGCAGTTTGGGGGCCCCTCACACTGGCCAGGTGAGTCGGCTGCCTCTGACTCCGACCCAACTCTGGGGCCAGGGAGACCGGCGGCACCCGCCCTGCCCGAGCCCCCGGCTCCACCCAGTGCCGCGGCGTCTGGCCAGGCTCCGCAGCCGCCACCTCTGACCCAGGCCTCGCTCGTGGCCTCCTTCAGACCCAAGCTGACCTCTCCGGCCGGCGGCCCTCAGCGGCACTGCGCCGGCGCCTCCCCAGTTTCTGTCCCCTGTAGCTGCCAGGATGATGGTTCCTCTGGGTCATGGGGTGTCTTCACTCAAACCCCAGAGGGGCCCAACACCAAATCCTGAGCCCTCCACAGCCCACGCTGCAGACTCCCCACCTCAGGCGGCGGCCCCCGCCCCCCAGGGGGAGCCAAGCCTGGAGTGTCCCTGCCTGGCCAGCCCCGGTCCTCGCCAGTCCTGCAGAGGGACCCACACCGCACCCCCACCCCCACCTGGACGGCTGAGACCAGCCTGGCTCTCTCCCTGCCGGCACCGGGAGACGAAGCCTCTCCCCAACCTCGGGCCGCCTGGAGCCAGTGAGGCGGGCTCTGTGGCCCCCGGGGAGCCCCAGGGCCCAGATCCTCACCCCTCTCCTGCACCTGCGCAGACCTGGCTGGAGCCGCCTCCTTGCCCCAGGGCCATGGCTCTGATCCGCACTGGCGTGGGAGACCCAACAGACAAGCCGCCGGCCTGGCCTCCGGGAAGGACCTTCGCAGGCTAGCCTGGGTTAGCGGGGAGCGGCGGGACGCGCACGGTACAGCCTCCCACCACGGCGGGCCCCGGGGACCCTCCTGCACCCCCAAGCCAGCGTAGCTCGCGGGAACTGGCGGGTGCCAGGTAAACGTGTCTATTGTCGAGGCCACGGCCAGCCGAGCCCTCTGCCCGCACCC